GGGGCCGCGAGTTGCTGCTGACAGAGCGGCGGCAGCGCTGGCAGCCACGGAGGTAGGCGCCTGAGCCAGCGCTCATGACCACAGCCTCCGAGTAGCTGGGCACTAGTTGCCGGTTAGAGCAGATGTGCCACTCGAGCTCGGTGAAGTCCACCGTTGCCACACGGGAGAGTGGGGGCCCACTGGGCATAGCCCCTGGCGGGGGTGAGCTGGCGCCAAATAGCTTCTCCACCTGGTAGTGCACGTGGGCTGTGCCGTAGGCTGCCACGACACGCAGTGGCCAAGAGAGTGTGGCCGCCGACACAAGCCAGAAGACCCACGCGCGGGCGTACCAGGGTGGGCTGTGGGGGTCAGCAAAGACCATGAGGGATTCGCGAAAGTCCACGTCCTTCAGGTGCATGCCCTCGCGGGCCTCCAGGTAATCGTCCAGGCCCTCGTTGGCGCTGAAGAAGCGGGCTCTCTGAGTGAGGTATGAGGCCTCGGCCTCGGCACTGCCAAAGCTGAAGCACTTGGTGAAGCGTAGCCGCGTGGCTGCGTGGTCAGCCAGGCCCACGAGCTCCTTGGAGACATCACGGACGCCGTGGGCTGAGTAGTCGAACTCGCCACGAGCCGTGCGGCTGTCAGCCCTCTCGTGGTAGACCTGTGTGGTGGTGTAGGCATCGCCATTGCGGTAGCGGGTGATCTGGCGTGTGCGACGCACGTAGTGATAGCTGGTGGCCTTCCACCAGACACAGGGTGGTGCCTGCTGCAGCCGGCGGATCAGGGCGAGCACGGTATTGGCATCAGTGCGTGGCGCCTGGCATGAGCGCACGTGACAGTGCCAGCACTCAGCCAGGTAGAGGAGGTAGAGGAGGGAGACAAAGGCCAGTGGGATGTATAGATAGCCATCGGAGCAGGGGCTGGCTGGGTAGGTGGGTGGAGGGCCCCCAGCCCCGCGGGCCAAGGCTGCCTCGGGCCCCAGGACCAGCCGCGGTACTGTGGCCAGGCGACACCAGGCCACCACAGCACCACAGGCGTGGATAAGCAGCGTGAGGAGCAGGCACTTCCAGTGCGACTCGCGGCACAGGGAGCTTCCCAGGGACTGTTTCAGGGGCCGCTGCTGCAGGGTGGGCAGAGAGAGGGGAGGCATGTGTCAGTTGGGCCTGACACTGCTAAACGCCCGTGAAGGAGATGACACCATGAGCCCCACTCTACAGAGGAGGAAACAGGCTCTGAGGGATCGAGCAACTTGCCCCAGGCCTCACATTTCTAGTTACCTCACAGTGGCACTGCAGGGTGTGAGCCCAGGGCGGTCTGCTCTGAGCCTGTCCTCCACTGTGCCCTATTATCTCTCAGCCAAGGGCACCCAGGACACATTAGACCAATCTCTGACGGGAGTGGAAAGGAGACCCTCCACTCTGGCTATTGAGAAGACTGAGTTCTGGTCCCCGTTCTGCTTGACTTGCTGGGTGGACTGGGTCATATTCCTGCCCTCTCTGGGCCTCGATTCCTCATCCTGGTGGTCTGGGAGGTCAGGGTGGCAGGGATCTGAGGGGTGAACAGTCTGAGCTTTGGAGCCCGACTGCCCAGGGTCCAGGCTGGCTCCACCACTTACTGTATGACTTGGGCAGGTCCCTCATCCTCTCTGGACCTCAATTTCCTCATCTGAAACAGGGGTTGTTGTGAGGATTCAACGAGATCATATGTGTGAAGATCTTAGCACAGGGCCTGGCCGCGGGAATAAATATTATTACTGTTACCCTGGGACTCCCTCTAGCCCTTTATTCCACGAGGGACAGCAGAAGACTTGGGAAAGACTTTTAAGTCACTGAGAAAGAGGAAGAGGTGGGAATGGGGGCGGTGTGAGTCTTGCGGTGGGGAGCAGATGGAAGGCCTTCCTTCACTCCTCATCTGTGCTGAGGAAGGGGGTAAGACACAGCTAATGGGCAGTAGGGGCTGATCCCTGCTCCAGAGAGCTCGACATGCACTCCCTGGCAGGGTTGCCACCCTGGCCACCTCACCCCCCAGGTGCCTATGGAGGGAAAGGAGGGTGGGAGGGAGTGGAGAGAGGAAAGATTAAAAAGAGGAGAAGGAAGCAGAAACAGCAGTGGTGAGCTAAGGGGCCACCTCTCCTACCTCAGCCCCACCAGGCCTTCAGAGGCCCAACCTGGGACAGCCTGGTCCCCCCCCCCACCACCCAGCACAAGTGCACAGCCCCACAGGGACCTGCAAGGCCAGTCAGATCCACACACCCACACATCCACACCCAACCCATGTTCAGCACAGCCCCACCCACCATGGAGTTACCACTGTCTGTTCATCCAAGAAATACCAGTTTTTCCTTGGTCTTCCGAGTACAAACTGCCACAGCCACAGCCTGACACAAACAGACACACACACACATATCACAGACCCATCCACAACAGGACACACGTGCACTTACATGTTACACGCTCACTGAAGCTCAGAGACACCAGATCTTCCCCTGACCATAGTGTACATCCTCCTAGCATGCCAACCTTCCCTACCCCTACCTCGATTTGACACCCACAGTATCCAGATACCACATGGGTGAGACCCACATATGCACACATACACACATGCATGCACACACGTCACTGAGCAAAGGCCTGAGCCAGGAGACCTATCAAACCCTCATCCCTCATATGTTCCACCCAAGGTGCAGGAACCACACACACCTGCGTTCACACTCACATGACACACACACTAGCATGCTGCATCCACCCAAACACACCCAGACCCACTCACAACCCTACCAGCACACCACATAGAGCCCCAGATCCGGGAAGGTATTCCTGGCTAGGACTGAGGAGGGGCCATCCTGGAGGCCCCAGCCAGCAAAGTAGGCCCTTGGTCCTCACCTGGAGAGAAGGGGTACCAAAGGCTGCCTCCGTTCCACTTTCCCCTCCTCCTTGCCCCCACCCCTAGGCCCTGTTACTGCATTGCAGGCACCGCTGGCCTGGCTCCTCGTGAGCCGTGCAGGAGGTCTGACCCTGTGACCCTGGGGGTGAGGGGCACTGTCCAGGCTGCAGAGTAGGAACTTATGGGGACCAGGCGCTGACGTCATAGGACGGGCGAGGCTGGATGAGCGGGGTATCGGGAACTGCAGTCGTCCCTTATGTATCTGTCCAGCCTTTCCATACCTACTCCCACTTGGGCCTCCAGGCCCAGGGACCCATGGCAGGACCTAGGCTACCTCAATGACGTCATTGGCCGTAGGGGCTTCAGGTCTTCCCTCCTCTGCCCTTCTCCTGAGGGTCGTCCCCTCCCCTTGTTCCCCTCACCCAGCTTCTGCCCATCTCGGACCCCACCCCCACCCCCCACTTCTCAGTGCTGGTACCTCCTCCCGCAGCTGCTCGCCGTCCGGAATGAGCTCAGGCACCTCCCCGCTGTCGACACCGCCGCCCTCGGGCATGATGTCCTGGCTGCTTGGGCGGCCCCTGCCCGGGCCGGTGGCATGATAGGAGGAGCGCGGAGGACTGCAGCGCGGCCCCGGGGGGAGTCCGCTCGGCTGGGCGGCCGCGGAGGGAGTGCGCGGAGCTCGAGC